AAAAAACACACACACAACTGAGAAAGCACAATTTAAAAAATAAAATAAAATAAAAAAAAACAGCTATTTTATGTCACATGATGATCTACTGTTCCGATATGGAACCATTCCGTCGAGGTTTGTAATTGTTAGATCAACTATCCCCAACGATCACATGATAATCTAACTGTTATAATTACAAACTCGACGGAATGGTTCCGTAATGAGACCGTAGCATTTCCCTACATGAACTTAAATACAAATATACAATAATAGATAAATCAAAAATAAAAAGCACTCCCTCAATATCATAACTATCAATTATTATACGTTTGAAAAACTTCACGAAACCGTGTTGGTTTAATTCAAACGCGACATTGCCTTTATGTGTCTTTATTTCTCCATAATTAAAAGTCATTAACTCCATCTGTGTCCAGCTCAAAACCCCTTACCAACTTTGTTTTTTCACCTTAACCCACAACTTAGTCCCATAGGAACTTGCTATGCAGATTCCCAATCAACCCACTATATAAACCCCCTTCTACATGTCCAATTTCATAGTATCACATAATCATACAATATTCCTCTTTTTCACACACAATTTACCAACATTTTACATAGTTTAGACTATTCCAAACACACAAAAAAAAAAAAAAAAAATATGGCTACCTTCTACTATGTATCCCTAGCATTCATATTCTTGATAACTCATCCTATGTTTTCATTAGGGAGCAATTTCTATCAAGATTTCGAAATAACATGGGGCGACGGCCTGGCCAAGATTCTCGAAAACGGGCAACTCTTAACTCTATCGCTCGATAAAACCTCCGGCTCGGGCTTCCAATCCAAGAACGAGTATTTGTTCGGCAAAATCGACATGCAGCTCAAGCTCGTCCCCGGAAATTCTGCTGGCACCGTCACTGCCTATTACGTAAGCGCGCATGTTCCCAAATCCCCTTCGAAATTATTCTTTGTCTCTTCATGAGCTATAAAAATTGTATCTATTTTTATTTCTGTTCGATGCAGTTATCGTCACAAGGGCCTACGCACGACGAGATAGACTTCGAGTTCTTGGGGAATTTAAGCGGCGATCCTTACACTCTTCACACGAACGTTTTTAGCCAAGGGCAAGGAGGCCGGGAACAACAGTTTCATCTATGGTTCGACCCAACCGCGGATTTTCACACATATACTATCCTATGGAATGCCCAAAGGATCATGTGAGTAATTTTTTTTTTTTTTTTAACCAAATGGTGATGTGGGCTTTTGTTTTCTTGAATTTCCATAATGTAATATTACAATGTATCTAAATTAGTTGAGTTTGTTTTACTAAGTTATGTCTGGTTTTGATGTTTTTTTTTTTTCCGCAGTTTTTCGGTGGATGGGATTGCAATAAGGGAGTTCAAGAATTCGGAGTCGGTTGGAGTGGCTTACCCAAAGAGCCAGCCCATGAGGATTTACTCGAGCCTCTGGAACGCGGATGATTGGGCCACGAGAGGTGGGCTTGTGAAGACGGACTGGACCAATGCCCCATTCACTGCCTCGTATCGTAATTTCACGGCCGATGCTTGCGTGCCGGCGTTCGGGTCTTCTTCGTCTTGCAATTCTGCAGCTTCAAGTGGGTGGCAAACTGAAGAATTGGATGCTGCAAGCCAGGGAAGAATGAAATGGGTGCAAGATAATTATATGGTTTATAATTATTGTGCTGATGCTAAGAGGTTTCCTCAGGGGTTTCCTCCAGAGTGTGCTATTCATTAAGTGGTGGTTCTTTCTTTTTTGCTGCATATTATTGTGAGATGTATTGTGTTGGGATTCTTTTGTTGGGTTTGTTTTTTATTGTTTTTGTATCTAAAGAATGAGATTATATGTGTGAAAATTGCAAGAGATTTGATTGATTAATATTTCGGAAATTTCCTCTAAAATCCCCACTCCATAATTCATCTTTCCTTTTCACTCCCCATATAAATACTAAAACTATTATTATTCATTTCTTTTGTTGAAAAATCATAAAAAAAATGGGATAAAAAATGAAAAGCTCCCTTTTCTCTCTCCCTCATTTTCTCTCTCCCCACAAACATCCGACGCAAATTCACAATTTCCAATCACCACCACAGAATTGAACACATGTAAACCTTTTTCTTGACGTCCTTGCTGGACCTCTGTCGGAGCTTCCACGGCAGGTTGTGGCCGCGCCGGTGGAGCTGCAGGTTCTGGTCCCACTGGAAACCCTTGTTGCAGATTTCGCACACGAATCGGTTCGTGGCCAGCAGGGTTTTGGGCGATAGAGCAATCACCTTCGCATTCCTGGGAGATTGCGCTTCTTCCTCAGAGGTGGGTTCTTAGGGTATGTTTGATTGCCAGAAGAAGAGTCACCGGAGACGGTGGACTCATTCATAGCGGAAAAACAATCAGCAGATATTAGGGACTGTGAGCAATTTCTGGGGTTTGCTAAAAGGATATGTATCTCAGAGGATGCATTTATGTTTGGGGTCAATCATATTTGGTAGCCAACTAACAACTGGTAACAAACTACCAAAAATCAGGACAATAAATGAAGTCAAAAGGTGGAAGTAGAAAAAGAAAACGGCAGAGCTTGATCTCCGATGGGAACAAGATGCGGAAGAAGGCCAGCAAAACTGAGAGATTTGTAGGGCTGCCAGCGAAAATGAAGAAAACAATAATTTTTCGAGATCGTGACTGAATTACAAGAGCTTGAAAAGAAGAACGAAAAAGGGTATCGAGTCTTCAAAATTTAATTTGTGGTGTGCTGCGTAATTGGGCAGGTTACTATTGCCTTAGCAGAGGAAAGCGCGAAAGCCCGAACAACTGAGGTCCCTTTGATTCCTGAAGAGGATGAAGAATATAAGAGTAAAACTGTTGAGGCTGATAAGTTGACAATTTTGATGTAGCAAAATATTCAACATTCAATGCACGATAATTATAAACCTTAGTTAAACACAACTCGCATAAATTGAACAATCAACAAACATGAAAATCACAATTAAATTCTAAATATCATCATCATCCTCTATCCCTAGCGAAACGAATGAGCTATCATATAGAATTCAAAATAAACAATCTCAACAATCAAAGTCATCATATTTATGGATTAGATCAATTGAGAAACTTACGAGTAATAGAAATCCGATATTCGAATTCAATGACAAAATTAAATCCGAAAAAGTAAAGAGTGAATTGAGCAAAAAGAATGATCAAAATCCAAGTTTTAGAGTAGGAGAAAGGTGAAAAACAAGTTTTGGGGATTATTTCCACGGATCTAAGGATTGTTTTGATATATCGTGCTCGAAAAACGAAGCTAAAACGAGTAAAAATAAAAACAATGGCGACTCGCGAGTCTGACGGGTCGATGGGCGCTGATCGGAGGCTCTGTTAAAGTCCCAACTTTGGCTGCTAGCCACGATTTTGGTTGCACTACATGCATGACTTTACTTTTCGGGCTCGTCCGAACTTTCGGAATTGAGTTCCTTTTTTGCTACGCGTGCTAACGAAACTCTCTATTCAATTATGCTCTAAAAACCATTTTTCATGTTGAGAAAATTCGCCCGAATCTCCCGAACAGCACACCAAAAACGACAAAACACGAAGAAAACCGAAAAAACAAACGAAAAACACCTAAAGATCAAAATGAAGGAAAACACTTAATAAAACACGAAATGAACTAAAAAAAGAATCTACCTAAAACAGGGGGAAAAAGAAAAGCAAAACAAACACGAAACATGCAACAAAAATGGGACAAACAAACACCACCGGCGGCTCCCCCTTCAGCTTCTCCTCCAGCGTTGTCGCCCCCAACTTCAACAACCTCCTCCTCCAATCCCTCATATCGCGCCTCCACTTCCGGCCGCCCAACCAGCACCCTCTGTCGTCCTTCGCTGCCGTGAACTCGCTCAATGACCTCATCCTCAACCTCTCCGATTCCGATTCTGAAAACAACCTTTCCTCCTCCAAAACTCAGCTCGCCAGGGAGGAGTCCAAGCTCGAGAAGGAGATCGTCCGCATGATCCTCTCCAGCGAGGTCGAGAAGTGGAAGCATAATTCTGGCCAGGCTATCTCGAATGATATTTAAATGACCAATTATCATTCTCACATTTGTTTCTATGAGATTTAGAATGTGTTTAATTAAGTTCAACCGCAAATTGGTCAAAAACTCAACACACACATGAAAAAACACTACTAATACACTTCATCTCATTGAATGACACACTTCATCTCAGTGAATGATCATAGATGACTACTCTAAATTCTATATATATGTTTTAACTTCCACTATTTCTCAACCAAATCACGAGTGAACGATCCACGTGGCATGGTAGACATAAAGATTAAAGAAATTACAATTACTAAAGCGGTACCAGTTTTGATAGAAATAGTACCGCTTCTTCTTCTGCGCAGTACCTGCTTTGAATCAATTAGTACCTACATTTGGTCATTGAAAATGAATTACTTCAATTTTGGTCAACATTTGCAAAAATTGATGCAGACCTAGATTAAGATAGTACTAATTTTATATTGTTGTAGTACCTGATATTGGGTCTTTAGTATTACTTGTAATGAACACATAAAAACACCGAATTTCAGTCTCAAATTATGTTTATATGACCCATAATTACTTACATTAGTTTATATGAGATTTAAAATGTTTTAATTGAGTTTAATCGAAAATTGGTAATGGACTCGAGACACTAATGACAAAACACTACTAATACACTTAATCTCATAGAATCATCATACATAACCACTCCGAATTCTACTCATGTGTTTTTAACTTATACTATTTTTTATCCAAATCACGCGTTAACGATCCACGTGTCATGGTATACATGAAGGATTAAAATCACGATTTTTAAAATAGTGCCTGTTTTAGCCAAAATAGTACCACATTTTTTTCTATGTGGTACTTGTTTTTGATCGATTAGAACCTACTTTTGTGAACGAAAATGGATTATTTACATTTTGGTCAATATTTACAAAAAGTAGTACCCGACATAGAGTAAGATAGTACAAGTTTCTATATTATCGTAGTACTTGATATTGGGTCTTTAATACCACTTGCAATGAACACATAAAAATACCAAATTTCGGTCTCGAATAATGTTTATATGAACCATAATCACTCTCACATTAGTTTATATGAGATTTTAAAAGTTTTAATTGAGTTTAAACATAAAATGGTCATGAACTCGACACACTTATGAGAAAAACACTACTAATACACTTCATTTCATTGAATATATGACACACTTCATCTCATAGAATCATCATGCATGACTACTACCTGTATGTTTTAACTTCCACTATTTTTCTCAGTCAAATCACGCGTGAACGATCCACGTGACATGGTAGACATTGAGGATTAAAGAAATCACGATTACTAAAATGGTACCAGTTATGACATAAATAGTACTGTTTCTTCTTCTGTATAGTACTTGTTTTTAATCAGTTAGTACCTACTTTTGGTCATCGAAAATATATTACTTCAGCTTTGGTCAACATTTGCAAAAATTGGTACCAGACCTAGAGTAAGATAGTACCAGCTTTTGGTATTTTAGTACCAGATATTGGGTCTTTAGTACCAACTCCGACGAACATAAAAAAACACCGAATTTCAGTCTCAAATGATATTTATATGACTCATTATCACTCTTACATTAGTTTCTATAAGATATAAAATATGTTTAATTAAGTTTAATTGTAAATTGGTCACGAACTCAACACGCAAATGGAAAAACATTACTAATACATTTCATCTCAATAAAGACACTTCATCTCATTGAATGATCATACATGACTACTTCAAATTCTAATTATATGTTTTAACTTCCACTATTTCTCAACCAAATCACGGGTGAACGATCCACGTGGCATGGTAGACATGGAGGATAAAAGAACTAACGATTACTAAATTGGTACAAGTTTTGAAAGAAATAGTACAACTTCTTCTTATGCGTAGTACATGTTTTTAAACAATTAGTATCTACTTTTGATCAGCAAAAATGGATTACTTCAATTTTGGACAACATTTGCAAAAATTGGTACCAGGCCTAGAGTAAGATAGTACCAGCCTTTGGTGTTTTAATTAGTACTAGATATTGGGTCTTTAATACCAACTCCTAAGAACATAAAAAAAAAAAAAAACCGAATTTCAGTCACTAATGTTTATATTACACATAATCACTCTCACATTAGTTTATATGAGATTTAAAATATTTTTAATTGAGTTTATTTGTAAAATTGTCATAAACTCGACACACTAATGAGAAAACACTACTAATACACTTCATTTCATTGAATGAGACACTTCATCTCATAGAATCATCATATATGACTACTCAAAATTCTAACTATATGTTTTAACTTCCACTATTTTTTATACACATGTCATGGTAGACATGAAAGATTAGAGAAATCACGATTCCTGAAATAGTACATGTTTTAGCCAATATAGTACCACATCTTGTTCTACGTGGTACCTGTTTTTGATCCATTAGGACCAACTTTTGGTAAACGAAAATAGATTGTTCAATTGTGGTCAACATTTGCAATAATTGGTACCATCCCTAAAATAGAATTATACTCGATTTTGGTATTTTAGTACCGGATATTGGGTCTTCAGTACCACTTGTAATAAACACATAAAAACAATGAAATTTGGTCTCAAATGATGTTTACATGACAAATAATCACTCTCACGTTAGTTTGTTTGAGATTTATAATGTTTTTAATTAAGTTTAATTGCA